TGGGGGGGGGCCGGGGGGGGTGGCCGTCCGCCCGCCGGGCACCAGGGGGCGGGGACACTTGCGCCCCAGGGGCGGCCCCGCCAAGCGCCGCGTGCCCGGGGCCGGCGCTCCCCCCGCCATGCGCCCGGAGCCAGGCCAGCCCCGAGCACCTGGCGGGTGCATGGAAATGCCCCTGCGGGCGCCATGGCGCCCGCGGGCACCGTGTTGGGGACCACGGCTCTAGAGCTCCCTCTAGAGATTGGAAGGGACTGTCAGTAGTTCCAGAACAATAAAAAGTGGCCTTTATAGAAAGTGTAACAAACACAAAATACAGCATTACTTACTTTACAAGGATTCAAAGTGGTGGAAGATTGGAATAAGAGCTTTCAATCCTAAGAGTTTGTTCTTGTCGCTATTGAAGACAATGGCAAATGCTCCAAATGACTTCATTTATTCAGGATCAGACATAAGAGAGTAGGAAGTATGGATTTATTTGATAACTAGAATAGAATAAAATAGATTCCAGTGACAGAGCAATTAACAAGAAATAAAGGCTCATCTTTTAGATATCAGCCCAGCATCAATAATACATCTGTCTCTCTGGCTATGTCTACACTACAATGATCTATTGGAAAAAGGTACGCAAACTGCACTCTGCAATTTGCATATCTTTTTCCGATAGTTTTTTTGGAAGAGGCTTTTCTGAAATTTGGCCTATCTACACTGGGCCAAATTTCAGAAAAGTCTCCTCTTTTGAAAGAGCCCTTCTTCCTCACAAAAAAAAAGTGGAAGAGCAGATGCACCCTCTGGATATGGTGGAGTTTTTCCAGGATACTGGTATCCTGGAAAATCCCAATAACGTAGACATAGCTTCAAAGAGAGCTTCACATCACCAGACCCTGCAGCAATTTTAGCTAAATATTTCTATTCTAGTATTGACTTTTGTTAAATTGCAAATTGACTATTGGCTATTAATCTGAAGCTTGATAATTGATACAAGGAAGTAACACACTTGTATGGCTACTGCCTAATTAAAATTCCATTAAAACAAAACACAACAAAAACAATATCTTTGGGAAGTTGAGGACAACAATTTAGATTTGTATATAATAGAGATTTAAAGAGTTAAAATATTGTACATACTGACATGTTTTTGTTTTAAAATAGTTAAAACTTTTCATTTGATTTACTGCCGACCACAAATGTTAAAAAAATCATGAGTCATCCCTCCAAAACTCATGAGGCTGGTTTGAAATTTAAGTTGATAACAATACAAAATTTAGTTCTTGTAATTTGTCTTCTGGTTTTCAGCATGTAGGATTCACTGGAGACACATTTTTCAAGCTTTTCTCAGCAACTATGTGGACTAGATTTTTTAAAATGAAAGCTGAGTGCCTCATCTATTCACATGATTCTAGTAACTGCAGCTTCAAAAATACAGTTTATCGCAGTTGAGACTACACCAGAAAAAACCTGCACGGTTGTTGATCATCTAGTATGTTAATAGGGAACTTAGACTTGCTTTTATTTTTAACCTAATAGTGCTTTTTAAAATGTCTTCTTTTTCTTCTTCCCGTCTTTGCCTGCCTCCCCTTTGCTCAGCTAGTGGTTCCTTTTTGCTGCAAGTGAAGCTTTTTTTTTGCCTGTGTGTCTGCACTTTGGCCTGAGATGAACAGGAATTGGAGGGCAGGTGAATAGTTGACTTGCAGAGTCCACCAGAGGAATGATGAGAGAGTTTAGAAGACATTTATAATTATAGTTAAGGAGCAGAAGCCATGCTAGAGAGATGGCGGGTCCCAATGGGAACTGGTCAGATGTGAAATAAAGGATAGAGGAGGGTGATATAATGAAGAAAAAGATCAGTAAAACCAAGGAGTAACAACTTGTCCAAGCCCTATTACATGAAAGTAACAGGAAACACAGCATTTTTCCCTCCTCACACTATGTTTGATGCTTGCTGTATATCGATGTATTGTGTCGGTCCCGGGATTGTTCACAGCCAGCCGCTGGGACCTAAGCAGAATGCAGCAGCAGGCCACGAAAACTGTGGGGAAAAGAGTCATATCCCCTTTCTCCAGCTACATAACACCTTCCTGTGCAGGTAACCCTGCTAATCTCATTGAAGGCTCAGGAGTACATGGATGGATACAGCAGAATCTGGCCTGGGAGTGGGAAATGAGACACGCATATGTGTGTACAACTGCTGACTGTTAGAAGTACATAGAAGCAGGGCAGTAAGAGTATAGATTTAAGTCACCCCATTCTATGTCTCTGTGCACATTCACCACAGCAGGGACTAAAGTTACAGACCAACACGGCTACCCCTCTGACACTTGTTGACTGTATGTTATAGAGAGCTACTGAGGGCCTATAAAGGACATCGCCAACTTTTATTTGTATCTATTTTATGGTTACCCTCTATTGCCTGTCAGTATGGTTTCAAAAGTAGGAATGCCCTTCTTTCCTTACAATCTCCTTCTCCCCACTGCCTGTTTGGCATGCATTGGTATTTGACACTTCACTCCCTGTATCTCTGGAGGAGTTCAAATTAACATGACTCTTTTTATGCACTTACATTGAACACCTCTCACTTATCATATAATCAGAGAGATGCACGAACTTGGCAATGGTGCTTACAAGGAAGTGAGAAGCTGCAAGTGATCAGAAACCAGAGGCTCAAGTCTTTTTTCATGATGTACACAAATAGTGTGTACACATGTGCCTGTGCGTACATGACAGAGAGAGACAGAGAGTTAGTTCACATACAGAGTAGTGGATTATAAAAGACATGCTTATTGCCTGGACCTAAATATCTCTGCACTCTTCAGATGATGCCAAGACTGTGAAAAACGGATAGAAGCAAACTCCTTTGTTAGACGGTATCATGATACTCAGTTTTCTTAGCTGTAAACTGAAAGGTGGGTAGAGTCTCCAGGTAGAAAGGCATCTTAATTATTAAAGCTGGTGATAATGAAAACAAATCTTCAGTGAAAAACAAAAATGAAGATTTTCATAAACATCCCCCCTTCCATCCAGCTCTGCTAATTATTGCCTTACTATTTGTCAGCAGATCAGAGAAAAGGAATCAATCAAGTGTGAGAATGCAAAATATATCAGGGTGAGGATGAAGATTTGATGCAGATCTTAAGTCCTATTTGTAGGTTTTGTTGTTCTCCCCCATCATGCCCTAGAAATAAAGCCCCCCCTTTTTTGTACACATTTTCTGATACACTGTTGACAGAGAAATCCTGCGTGTAATATGGAGAATGCATTTATCTACAGGTTAGGAAGCATGGACGCTGTATTTTATGGACGTAAATCTCTGAGGCCATGTAAACAGGGTGCATAGGTATAGTTATCTAGATGTGTGTGCATTTCTCTGTACAGGCATATTTAGAGCTCCACAGGTGCACACAAATGTGCTGTAACTTCATACATCTTTATACCCAGCAAGCGCGCTCCATTAAATATAAACTGTACACACACGATCATAAGTGTTGCGCATGTGGTTTAGTATAAGCCATGCATTTATGCTGGGTGAAAGTAGAACCGCGCGTTTGCACACGAAATGTGTGCGCTTTGGTGTGTTCGTGTGCAATGAACGCGCCCTGTGCACGATTGCACAAATGATTCAAGCGCGTGCCCTTCAGCGTGTGTGCGTGCGCGCAATGCAAGAGTTCTCCAGCCACAGGCATGTGCATGACACACGTGCGCACCAGCATGGTAAAGCCCCGCTGTGTTGTGATAACTGGGAAATAGTTCGGTGGATTTTATTACGAACCGCTTTTGATTGACGCCCCTCCTGCTTCTCTTCATCCTGGCGCTCTGTGCCAACGGCGCACCCCACCCGCTGTTCGAGGAGCCAGACAGAGAGCGACTGGCCGGGCAGATTCAGGAGGCTGAAACCCGGAGCGCAGCTGCTCGCTCCGACTGGCGGCTCACACTACTCCCAGCGCCCCGCAGAACAGCTCTGCTGGAGCAGAGCGCCGCGGCTGGGCGGAGCAGCAGCTCCACTACAGGGCGAAGGGAAACCAGCCGAAGTTGCATTGAAGAGCCCCGGCCGGGAGCCATCCGCTGAGCGCAGACGCTGCTGCAAGGGGTGGCTCCAGGGCCACGCTTCCCCCAGCACTTGTTGCTTCGCGCCGAGACCTCGCTCTGCCGCAGCCCCTTGGAGCCCGGACGGTTTGGGCTCTGGCCCGGGGACAAGCCCAGCCGCTCCGAATTTGCTGCCCTCTCCCCGCCCGCCGCTCCGGGTGCAGCCTCGCCGAGTCCGTATTTTTGCAGCCGGCGGGAGACTGTTTGTAGCCTGTGATCCCGCTGAGCGCTAAGCGGCGCCCGCCGACCTCGGGGGAAGGGTCAAGGGCCGCTCGGGACCGGAGCGGCTGCCGGGGCCTGTGCTGTTGGCGTTAACCTCGTGTCATCCTGTTTGCGCGGCGGCGGCGCTCGCTCGCTCCCTCCCTTCCTTTGGCTGCGCGAGACGTCAGCTGCACCCGCGGCGTTTTCTAAACCCGCGCCGCGCTCCTTGCTGAAAGTTACCAGCTTAATCATTGCAAGACCGCGGGACCTGCTTTGCAGCGTGGGCCGGTCCCCCGCGCCCCGCCCCCTCGGCTGCCTCGCTCCGGGCTTCGGATCAAAAGAGTAAAGAGCAGCCACCACCTCCGGCAATCCGGAGGGGCCGATCCAGGCGGCACTTGCTAGTGCACCGCCAGGGCTTCCCTCCCCAGCCCAGCCCAGCCCAGCCCAGCCCAGCCCAGCCCAGCCCAGCCCAGCCCAGCCCAGCCCAGCCCAGCCCAGCCCAGCCCAGCCCAGCCCAGCCCAGCCCAGCCCAGCCCAGCCCAGCCCAGCCCAGCCCAGCCCAGCCCAGCCCAGCCCAGCCCAGCCCAGCCCAGCCCAGCCCAGCCCAGCCCAGCCCAGCCCAGCCCAGCCCAGCCCAGCCCAGCCCAGCCCAGCCCAGCCCAGCCCAGCCCAGCCCAGCCCGCGTGCGGGGCGTCCTCGGAGCAGGGCAGGATAGCATGAGAGTGGCTGGCCAAAGCCCGTGCTAGAGCCGAGCCAGTGAGCGGCAGACGAGGGGGCAGCACCGCGCACGGCTCCTTCTCTCGGTTCGCCTGCCCTCGGTTGTAGCCTGCCCGGCGGGCTGCCCCACGTGCTCCCTGCGGGGATGGAGGTGCAAGTTGGGCTCAACAGCGTGCATTCCCGGCCGGGGGGCAGAACCTTCCGGGGAGCGTTCCAGACCTTGTTCCAGAGCGTCCGCGAGGCTTTCCAGAGCCCGGGGGCCGGCCTGCTGGGAGAGGAGCCGGGCACCAACCCTCAGCCTTCCTCCTCTGTCCAGTGCCCACCCGGTGCCCACCTGCAGCATCAGCAGCAACCAGGCTCCCCCACTTACCTGGCGCTGGAGGAGCATCCCCAAGGCCAGTGTGCCCCGGCGGCCAAGGTGTTGCAGCCTGAGGATGAGAGCCCAGCTGTCCCCCCCTCCTCCACCCTGTCCCTGATGGGCTCCACTTTCCACGGCTGTTCTGGGGACTTCAAAGATATCCTGAGCGAAGCAGGCACCCTGCAGCTCCTGCCGCCAGAGACCCAGACCAGGGGCAGCCGTGGCGACGAGGCATCTGCAACCAAGGAGGACTTTCTTGGGGACAATGCCAAGGAGCTGTGCAAAGCCGTGTCTGCCTCCATGGGTCTGGGGGTGGAGGCGCTGGAGACGCCCAGCGAGCTTCTGCCCCGGGAGGATTGCATGTTCGCCCAGCCCAGTGGGCACTCCCGGGGTGCAGCAGGCACCCAGCTTGGGGACAGCAAGAATTCAACAGGGGCTGTGCTCCTGGAAGAGCAGGGCACTAGCCCAGCCTCTTTCAAAGGGCGCTCAGCCACAGGCAGCAGCCACGGGCCAGGTGAGAATGCCCTGGCTGTAGAAGTGCCCCCTACCCTGTCCCTGTATAAGAGCTCCCCAGGCCTGGAGGAGCCTGTTGCTTTGCAGGGTCGTGATTACTACAACTTCCAACTAGCACTCGCCCCTCATGCCCGTATCAAGCTTGAGAACCCCCTAGACTATGGGCCCGGCAGCTCCTGGGCTGCCCAGTGCAGGTATGGGGGGGACATGACCAGCCTGGCGCCTCATTGCCCTTCCTCGGCCCCAGCCTGGCATTCATTTTTCACTGATGAGGGACAGCTCTACAGCCGCTGTTGGCCCTTTCAGCTGTGGGCGAAACCAGGGGCCACCAGGTCAAGAAGGAAGCGACTTCCCATCCGACATGTGGTACCCAGGAGGGATGGTGAGCAGGATGCCCTATGCTGCTGCCTCCGGTTGTATCAAAAGCGAACTCACTCCTTGGATGGAAGGCTACGCTGGGGCTTTTGGGGAAATCCGGTAAGTACCCACCGGCATGTGCAGATAAGGACCTGTCCTGACACTCTCCAAGCTCATTTTCAACCCACAAATACTAGCTTGGTTTAATATCCCCTGGTCTGCCTTGTCAGCATCTGCTCAGAAAAGTAAAGTTGAGCAAAACTACCTTGTGCGTTGAAATAGTACTAAGCGCTAGTGAATATAGGTTACTGCGACAGTAAGCAATCCAACTGTTCCAAAGGGCACTGCTGGGGAAATAAACAGCACGCAGGGGCAAATAATATGCAAATTGCCCTGGCAAGAGGGTAATTATAAAAGTTAGTGGACATTTTCCCCCTGCATTTGTGAAGTGCTGAGTCCCTCTAAAAAACCCAGACCTGGTTCTTAGGAAAGAGGGCTACAGCTGTTCAGTTTGAATTGTGAAGTGGATTCAGTATTCAAGAAGAAAGTATATGGAAGAGTTTGTTCTGTAAAAGGTGATGGTTTGCAAAGATCAGAACAATTTATAATCTCAATACAGTTTGATTTGGTTGCCTAAATTGAGTAATAGTTTTGTGGTTTTGTTTTTGTTTTACTCTAATGTTATAGCATTGCTCCTTGTGACTCATTAGCCTCAATTGTTGCCTGCATTGCTGTTCTGAAAGTCACAACACTGTGAGACAGTATAACCACCCTGATTTATTTTATTACTTACCTGTAAATTAGTTATGTATCTATTTCCAGAATACTATCAGGCTAGGGTGCATGTATCTATTTCCAGAATACTATCAGGCTAGGGTGCAATAAACTTAAGGAATTCAGGTTAGTGAATTTATAGTATAGACCCCTGCTGAATTTCAGATTTTAAAAAAATTGTCTGAGCACTAGTCTTCTTTGTGAGTGGAACCTGAGATTGATCACAGCATTGGGAAAAGTTAATCTAAGTGAGTTTGCTCTTATAATAATTGTCCCTTTGGATTTAAAGTCTGTTTTTAATTCAGGTGGGGGAGCAATTACTAAGATTGCATGCTAGAGTACTTTGTAAATAATAACCAGTTATATGGGTCTCCTCTTCAAACAAACAAAAGAAATCAGAAGGGAGTTTTTATATATTTTACAAGAAGGATTTCACAGAAGGTAATTCCCTTGGTTCTGTCATTAGCTCTATTAAATCTCACCCAAAGTTGGAAGTAAACCACTTTTGTCTGAAGTAGGTAAAAATAACATTGAAGCGATGAGCATATCAATGCACTAGTCATGATAAAATAATTTCAGACTACCTGAGGCTGTCACTTCAATTAAGACTATAAACCAAGGTTTTTCAAATTTCATTGCATCGTGACCCCCTTCTGACCTCTAAAATTATTATATGACTGCAGGAAGGGGGACTGAAGCTGAGCCCCACCAACCCAGGAAGGGGGGAGGGGGGGCAAAGCACAAACCCTGCTGCCCGGGGAAGGGAGTGCAGAATTTGAGGTCTTTAGCTCTTGGCAATGGGGCTTGAATTTTGACTTTAACCCCGAACCCCATCAAGTCTAACGCTAGTCCTGGCAACCCCATTAAAACGATCCAACTCTGTTCACTTACTATTTGAAACAGTGTGTAAAGTGAGTTAGTGATCTCAGTTCAAAGACTTTCTGATGGGTTTCCACATCCTAGTTGGCACCTTTGTTAACATTCTCTGTAAGGAAATCAAAGATTCAAATGGGCAAGTCAAACAGGTAGAAAATCTTTTTACATCAGCATTTTGCAGAAGACGCATACTTGTCTCTGCTTGCGCTGAAACTTTTTTGTTGATAAGAAGATATCTTCATTTTCTTGGGCAATACAGCAGCTATTGTTAGCACTAAATATATCAAAATATTTTAAATAAAAAATAAGGATATGTCAAAAATGGGGAAAAGCAAGGGAGTGTGGAAGTGAGTCTGTGTAGCAGATAGTCCAGTGAGGTGAGACTGACATACAGAGAATAGCGCTCCCACTGAAGTCCGTGGAAAGTAATTGGAGTTGATGAGGGCCTTATATTTTTACTTGTCATAGCTTTTGTCAGTTGATAGCGTGACTTTGAAGTCCTAGGACCCAGTCGTGCTGACTTCTTACTCAATGTGTGTTGTTCTTGCTCACAATATAACTGCACAGGTAAATAAAGAATAGTTACATTAAGGTATGCAGAATTAGGCTGAGTTTTTAAAATGTAATTACTTCAGGTAAGATTACTTTGAACCATATAGTATATGTGATTACTAAAAAATTTTCTGACCATGAATGACACTAACCAGGATTTTTATGCCACTTTGTGTTTAGTTTTAATTTAACCGTCTTTAAGTGAAGAGGAATGAGGCTTCTGTGTGGTGCTGCTAACATTGTATAGTTCAATCTTACCAAAGTTATTCATCATCTAGATGAGATTCTTTATTACCATTACAACTTACTGCCTATTGATTGCAGTGTGCAGTTTAATTTACTTCCGAATATGAACAGATAACTGATGAATGGACAATTGTTGTTGTGACAGAGGCAGTGATTTATACACCATTTCTTAGACAATAACCTGAGTGATGACAGAGTCATAGGAACTAAAGAGGTTTTGTATCAACGTTCTTTCCCTCAGCTCCCTCCTGTGCACAAGTCCCCCTGTAATGATCATACTTGGTACCTTTGACCGCACATTACATTTCCAAAGCAAGGTTAGATTAGGTAATTAGGCTAGCTACTTGCCTGAGGTTGCACAGTGTTTTGTAGAATGGATTGCAGAGGAGCCTCTTACCTCACCTTGAAGTCAGGGCAAGATATTCTCTTAGGGCATATCTACACTAGGAAATTATTTTGAAATAATAATTCCCAAAATAACTATTTCAAAATAGTGCGTTCACACTACAGGGAAGCCTTGAAATTAGTCCAAGGGAGGCCTCTTTACTGTGGGGCTACGTCTACACTGGCCCCTTTTTCGGAAGGGGCATGCTAATTTTGAAAGTGGGAATAGGGAAATCCGCGGGGGATTTAAATATCCCCCGCGGATTTAAATAAACATGTCCGCCACTTTTTTTCCGGCTTTTCCCCAAGCCGGAAAAAAAGCGGCGGGCATGTTTATTTAAATCCGCGGGGGATTTAAATATCCCCCGCGGATTTAAATAAACATGTCCGCCACTTTTTTTCCGGCTTTTCCCCAAGCCGGAAAAAAAGCGGCGGGCATGTTTATTTAAATCCGCGGGGGATATTTAAATCCCCCGCGGATTTCCCTATTCCCACTTTCAAAATTAGCATGCCCCTTCCGAAAAAGGGGCCAGTGTAGACGTAGCCTGGATGTGCTACCTCAACTTAGAGCCCCAGGAAGCACTGTAATGACATTAAATGAATCTGGGGAGTAGTTATTTCAAAATAGCAGCAGTGGAGCATCCACACTTCTGCCATTTTGGAATAACTGTTTCAAGATAAGCGTTATTCCTTATGGAAAGCAGGAGTTATTATTTTCAAATAAGGGGAGTTATTTCAAAATAACTCCCTAGTGTAGACCAGGACTTAGTTCTCTCTTAGGTGCTAGGTGAGGGACTCAGCTAATGTGCCTTCTGGTGTTCTGCAGCCCCACAGAGAAATCGTCCATTTTGGGACATTGTTAGAGCCCAATATCCTGTGACATTCATGCTGTGGTCAGTGGCAGATGCTGGGGAGGGTTGAGTAGTAATAAGTATTTTTGAATGCTTTGCTACCAACCCTCTTCCCCTGAGCCATCCTGCCTCATGCATCACACTGGACCAGGGTTTCCCAACCTATGGGTTGGGACCCAAATATGGGTCTCCATTACACTTCAAAGGGGTCGCCAAGTGTCTCCCCAGGTGGCTCTGCCCCTTCTATACCCCCCATTTTTGAATTGCTTTGGGTCACCAAGTCTTCCTGAATTGTCAAAATGGGTCCCCATCTGGAAAAGGTTGGGAACCACTGCACTGGAACCTTCATCCATTCTCTCAACTTTTACTGGTCTGCTTCTCTCTTCTTGTCCCCAGTTCTTTTGGATTGGTGCCTTCTTTTTTTAATTTTGAATATTTTATTCTGCTCCTTTTATGCATACGTGACATTAAAACATTAGCATATTTTCCCTTTTGTTTTTTAACATGTGACAGTTTTATTTCTAAAGCTTCAGGGGGTAGCCGAGTTAGTCTGTACAGAAAAAACAACAAATGGTCTGGTAGCACTTTATAGACTAACAAAACATGTAGCTGGGATCATGAGCTTTCGTGGGCACAGCCCACTTCTTCAGATAACTGGAGTTAGCTCCTGATACCATCTACATGTTTTGTTAGTCTATAAAGTGCTACCAGACCTTTTGTTGTTTTATTTCTGTTATCTCTTATCTGCTCATGCTTTTTAATTTATTTTATTTTTGATACCAAAATAGGTTATTTCAGTTCTAAAACATCTTGGAGGCTCAGATGGCTTAAAAGATTGCTGATGGGACACAGGGTTTTTCTCCTGTGCATCATCATGTCATTATTTTGAATATAATACACTGAATGGTACCATCTGATGGCTGAGCAGTCACTTCTGGTGAAGTGAGTTGATTCCTGTGATAATGGGATGTCCATCTATAAAACCTGCCATCACCCTTAGTCCCGCTTATTGGCTGTCTCTGGGGACAGGGCAAGGAGTGGATAGGAAAGAGAGGTGAACAATTGTACTCGCTACGAGGGGTTGGTCCCTCCAGGTTTCAATTAACGTTGCTGGGGCTGTATCACTGACCATAAACAAGAGTATTTCAGTTTGCTGGACTCACAATAGTACATCACATTTACTTAAACATTTAAAAAGCAAAACAAAATGTTTTAACACAATTTGGATTGCTCTTGAGGCTTTTCAGATGTCGCACATAAATGTTCCAGCGTTATTTCCTTATGAGTGTCAAATGTATCTGCACATTTGCTATTCTGTGAATTAATAGCTTTTTTCTCATAGCAATGTTTCATTTACTGAGGAATTCTTTGCATTGGTTGAGGTTACAATAGAGGTTTTCAAAATTAGGAAAGGGATTACTAGAAAAAATATTAATA